TATTCCTATCGATAAGAGAAACCGAACCTTGGACAGGGGTGCTTGTGTCTTGGGACCATGACCGAGCAGCCAGCCCATCGACAAGGTTATGGTTTGCTCCGTGCTGGCGTCTAGGGACTGTTTTGTTCCCCCGTAACCGAATCAGAAGCCAACCTGTGACTTTTATCTCTCTCGCGACGGTTTAATACCGCATGAATTTATGGACCGATTTGATATTGGGCTATTACCGGTGAGTTTTTTTTCTCTCTCTCTCTTGTCTTGGCTGTAAATTACGGTCTCTACGTTGACTTTATATAACAATGTAGATAAAGTCAGTACTAGACGAATCCATGTTTATGGACGATGGTTTGCCTGTGCTAACCGATGTTTGGCGAGAAAGTTATTGATGACTGATTTATACAATACAGCTCCTTCGTATATGTGTATTGAGGGTTTTAGTTACTCCGCGCTAATCCGAAATACCAAGTCATGGTTATCTAATGCGACAACACTTCCCAAGAGCCTTGATCAAGTAAGTCTCGTTCTTGAAGTGCGGGTTCCCTCTTGAGTTGGAAAGAGCTAACTAACGCCGGGTCTCTAAGCCGATTCTAACCTCATCAATTCAACTTTAGAAACAATCACGAGGACAACTTGAGTCGCGGAGAACTCATCCAAAGGATCAACCTGTTTAACACTATAGCTCGGTATGATTATTCTTCTAGAGCATCATCTCCTGAATCAATTCACTGCACAGCATGTGCCTGGTTGCCAAACTGCGATTGCACGGAAGCTCCATCAAAATGGATTGAACGTTGAATTGGCCCTCGTCCAGGGCAATAACTACTTCTCGCTTCACGACAGAAGATCGTAATACTAGTAGGTATACCGGAAGTCCTTATTCTCCCCATCCGTCTTATCCTCCCTCTCCTGCTCGAGACCAGCCTGCAACCTATCCTCAGGCACCCCAAACTTGGAATTGCGCCGCTTGTTCTCCGCCACGCAGAGCAGGTAGTACACGAGCCCGGACGCGGCCATGAGCGCAAAGGCAAACATCATGGCGCTGATGCCGAGCGGGTACCGCGGCGCCTGGCTCGACAAGAACAGCTGGGGTCCGACAATGTTGCCGACGGCGTAGCACACGGCCACCGTGACGCCCATGAAGCTCTTTTTCGTAGCACCCGCCGTGTTGGACGAGTTGAGGCTCAGCATAAAGACCCACGGGACGTTGTAGAAGCCCATGATGTACACGCACGCCAGGCTGGCGTTTCTGTTCAGGTTGATGTCGAGCGTGTGCACCATCACCGCCCCGACGAGCCCGACGAGCGCGGAGAATATCCAGAACAGGCAGCGCAGGTTCTGCACGAACATGGATATCGTGGTGAGGACGACGCCGGCGACCATGGCGACCGCGGCCTGCGGCGTGGCCATGAGGACGGTCTTGGTCTGGCTGAAGCCGTAGCCCGAGATGATGAGCGGGTTGAAGTTTGTGATGCCCGCGTTGGCGACGGCGTAGCCGATGGCGCAGGCCCAGACGCACCAGCACTTCGGGTCCTTGACGGCCTCGAGGATCTGCTGCGCGTCGAATTTCTTCTTGACGTCGACGCCCGTCTGGTTCTCGGCGAGGCGGGCGACGACTTGTTTCTTCTCCCGTTCGTCAAAGAACCATGCCTTTTGAGGGGAATCGGGCAGCGCGAAGAGAACCACGAAGCCGACGAGGACGGTGACAGCACCGTAGATGATGAAGATGTACTTCCACGTCGACAGGCTCCCCTTGATATTTCCGATGGCGTATGAGAGGATACCGCCAAACACGCCGGCGAAAGTATTATGCCACAGTGCCGTCCGCAGGGGCTGCTCTTCGCGGCGGTACCACGTGGCGTTGAGGACGAGCATGCATGGCAACAAGGCGGCCTCGAAGATGCCGAGCAGGACGCGGATGGCGGCGAGGCCGGCGAAGTTGTGGCAGGCGGACATGAGGCAGATGCAGGCGCCCCAAAGGACGAGACAGGCGCCGATGAATTTTCCGATGGGGAGCTTGGTGATGAGGTAGAGGGCCGGGAGTTCCATGGCCAGGTAACCAAAGTAGAAGACGGAGCCGAGCCAGGAGTATTCCTGCCCCTTGAGGTTCGCGTCTTGTCGAAGGCCAAAGATTGCGGCGAAGCCTAGGGCGTTCTATATCTCGGTGACATGGTTAGTTAACGATATTTCACGGGAAAAGAAAGGAGAGGAGAGGAGAGGGTTTTCGGGAGACTTGCCTTGTCAAGGAACGCGAGGGTCATGCTGATTACGGCGCAGGGGAGGACGACGAGGTCCGTCTTCAACAGGATGCGCCTGTTTTGCGCGGGCGTCGGCGCCAGGGTCTCGTCATACTGGGAGGTTCCATCTTGTACGTCTTTGACATCCGTCTGCTCGGTTGCGTCGTGGTCGACGATGGCTGATTTGGGTTCCATCATGGGAAATGGAAGCGGATTGGAAGCCACTTGGTGATGGTAAATAGGTATGTACGGAAGCGTGTAAGTCGGAGCGTACGTGTCGTTTCAGCAAACTCTCAATCAACGAGACAACCTCGTCAGACTCATTCAAGAGCCAACTTGCTTCTCGAAAGTCAAAAAGAATGAATCCAAGTTTGAGATCAAGACCCAAAGACCAAACATGCCCCCCCCGAGGCGGCGGCGGAACCGCAGGTATTTCAATGGCTCAACTCCACATCCCATGTCCCTGACTTTTCGATATCAATGAGATCTCTGCCGGATAACACCAATATCGTTGTTCGATATGGGGACGGGGCAGAATAGAACCTGCGATTGACGTTATCATTCTGGGGTATCACGCAATGAGAATGTGGAGCTTCTGTTCGGTCCCCACCGAGATCATTGATGTCGAGATATCGGTGCAGTCCGAGGTGTTGTGCTGACTCGTGCTCCGCCGGTCCTCACACTGTTGAGATCAGCGTTTAAGTAATACCGCAGTAAACGCCGTGTTAGCTAGTAATGGTGTGGCATTTGTGCCAATATGTGGCAAGGGAAGACTAGTGATGAAGGGCCTTTTCCAATCATTATCTTATTATCAAATAGAAAGTTTCCGAGCAAAATGCCGAAGACTACGCGGGCTCACGTTAGATGTCATCCAACGCAGATGATGCTCATTCCTCGAACCGAAACGTTGGTTGTGCCTGCTTCCAATTTGAAGGAAACCTGGCTTGAATTCAGACACCTAGATATTGGATCAGGTTTCTTTGGCAAATTACAGTGTATTCCAATGTGCATTTGGTCATTCCAGAACATAGGGTGCTCATTGGTAAATCAGTTGGTATTTGTGAGACTCTCGAAATGATTCTAAAAAAGACTCCGCGAAGACTCAAAGCTTTGACTTTAGTTTATCAAGAACACTCAGATCCCGAGCCTGCTCAAGTTCGGCCAGAATCACTTCCCTCGACCTCGCAGTATCCCGCTCTACCTCAGCCGCATACAGCTTTTGAATCACGTCCGTCAAAGCCCCCCTCTTCCCGTCTCCAATCACCCGCCCATCAACCTCCGTAACATGAATCTGCGACGGGAACGTCCCCGTACAGAAAGCCTCGTCGGCCCCGTACACCTCCGTCAGCGCGAAATCGAGCTCCCGCACCGTGATACCCGCTGCCCGACAGACATCAATGGTCTTTTGCCGCGTGATGCCCATCATCTGATTATCCTTTGTCGGCGCCCACACCTCGTCGCCGCGGACGATGAAGAAATTTACCGAGTTGCACGTCTTGACGAAGCCGTTGAGGTCCAGCATGAGCGCTTCGTCGACGCCCATAAAGTTGGCGTGCACGCACGCCTGCACGTCCGTCGCCTTGGAGATGTGGTTCCACTGCTCGTCCTTGACGTCGGGCGGGCCGCGCCGAACCCAGGTCGTTCCCAGGCGTAGGCCGCGCGACTTGGCTGTCGGATCTACGGCCTTGATCTCGGGGATGATGACGATGAGCGGCAGGCCGATGTTGACGTGCGGGTTCTGGTAGGGTGTTGACTTTAGGCCTCTGCTGACGACCAGACGTATGTGGACGTGAGGCTCGTTTCCCATGTCGTTTGCGTCCAACGTCTGGTGAAGAAGTGACAGGAGGTCTCCTTTTGTCAGGCCCAAGTCCATGTACATTGCCTTTGCAGACTGGAAGAGCCGACTAATGTGCTCCTTGGCGAATTGGACTCGGCCTCTTACAGCACGAATGCCTTCCTACAATGAGAAGCATCAGATCAGCCTTTGGACTTTTCTATGCCGGCTTGGCCCCTTACTTACCCAGATTCCATCGCCTATGAGGAAGTTGGAGTCAAAGACCGAGACTGTTGCTTGCTCTCTGGGGACTAGACGGAATTCGCCGGTGACGCCGTCGCGCATGCCGACCTTGTATTGAGAGTCAGTATCGTGATTTGATGAAGAACTTCAAGACGAATATGTCTTACCAATATAGAAGCATTTCGGGAGTTCAGGACAGCCGTGTGGCTTGTGGCCGGTTGAGGCTTTGGCTGAGATTCGGACATGATGCTGGCGATGCTCTGTGCGCTGTGATTCCGTATAAGTCGTAGAACATCTGGTTAGAAGTCAAGCCATGAATAAATACCACGCTTCTACAGAACCAAGAACCCCGATTCTTGTTCTGCAGGGACATCAGCCAAGAAAATGCTCAAAAGATGCCCCAGTGCTTATCCCAATGAGTAGGTAGTCTTGACCGGCACTGAGCTCGGCCAGGGCCGAAACTATGGTGACATTGTGCAAGCCAGTCTCCACTTATCATCGGTCCAGTCCGAGATCACCTCGGTCTTTGGATATTAGCTTCAACCAATGCAATGGAAATGAGGCGCCAAATCGATAACAATGATCCGATGTTGAGCTCTAGTTTGACATCAGGCGCTCAACTGATTGACTGAGCCTGTGTGATGGCATTAGCTTAGCAAGTGTCGATAGCCACCGGTCACTCAACTTACACAAATGGCTGTTGCAGGGAAGGCTTGGTGTTGCCTGGAATCATTGTGACGATGTATCAATTAACCCAAGTTCCCTATTCTGTTGGACTGGAACTCGTGCATGAAAGTATCAAACCAAGCAGTGAGACCCTCGTCTAAACCCAGTTGAGCGTTGTCAAAATACCCCGTGACTTGGTTCATGTACGTTTCCAATTCATCGCCTTGGAAGAACATATTGGACTGCGTACTGTCTGCACCAAGAAGGCCAAGTGCACTTGATGCGTTCACAGGAGCTACTGGCGAGGCATCTGTAGGTTCAGTTTGAGTAATTGGCGGCTCCCACGTCGTTGGGCCATATACTTTGATTCTTGCTGCCTGGAGAAGATCGCGATACTTCAGCAGGCCTTCTTCTTTCATCCAGGCAGTTCCGCGTTCGATGAGATCCATGCATAATGCCACATTGCTTCCATGGGAGTAGAGAAGAGGGGAATCTGGACTTTGATTCATCGCTTTCACGTGCCTAGTAGCTTATGGTCAGTTCGTAATCTTGAAAGGAATGCCAATTGGGTCTGGTGAGATAAGAAGCTTACCAGTCACAGTACAAGCCTGCCAGTCCTACCATGAGGATCGAATGCACTTGCCGTATGCAGCGGCAAACGGCAGTGATTCCATACTGAAAGTCCAGCTTCTGCCACTGCTGAACAGTTCCAGACACGGCCCGAGAGCATATCTCAGCCATTTCTTTGGAAGGAATCATGAAAGTGGGAGATGGTCGATACATGAGTAGCAGGAGAAGTCCATATTCAATCTTCATCTCGGAGTACTCGCGCGTTCCTTTGAAGTCTAGGGCTTCCAATTCTCGTTTCCAGCTCTCTAATTCTTGCTGGATTTTCTCAACTTCGTTGCATATTTCCTGAAATGTGGTTCTTGATGCTCGCCCATCAGGGCCTCTGGCGATGTAGATGGATTCAAGGACACGCCCACCGATCTGACGTAGTTTCATCAGATGATTGAAAAGCTTCACATTGAGTTTCTGGAACGAGGGCGCCGCACGACCCTCTTGATCTGTGAGCTCGTCGAGAGTACTGGCGGATGGCTTGGGTGCATCTATAGCATGCTCTCTGACCGAGAGTACCCTGCCTGTTATGACCGCTACCTGTCTTTCCAGTGCGTAGACACACCACCACGTCCGGTTCCGGATCTCCCGGTCATCAGAACTTAGGTCGCCCGGTGTGACGGAACGTCGGTGAAGGCCCATCTCTATGGCTGTTGACATGGTATATCGACTCATCTGCCAAACGTCATCGCCGTGATTTCTAACGTTTGATCCTAACATCCATAAGCACAGCAAGATCACGGAGTGAAGGCCTTGCAGATCTCTCGGGTGATCGTGTATGTTCAAAAAGAATTGTAGGCCTGTCTGGAAGTAGTCTGTTGGGCTGTTCAAGTCCATCATCCGTCGGTACTCCTGGGCTTCTGTGCAAGTTGCTGAAGCGAGGGCTAGCACCATGAGAATCAGAAACTTTTGATACAATGTGCATCTGGCTGGATCCTCGTAGATTCTTGCAAGACTACTCCTCAAGAAGGGAAGAGATATGAACGGCCACCATGGATGTATGCGACTAATGTATGTTGTCAGGAGATATCTTGCGACTGGCTGCGGCGGGAGTGCAGCGTTGTTTCGGACGAGTTCGTGATCGTGACTGGAGGATTCTTGGCGACCATAGTGCGCGACTGATGACGATCCCGACAGGTTAATCTGCTTGAAGAAAATGCGAGCAAAGGTCGAGCCAGTGGCACTGCCCACTAAAGGGAAGAAACATAGATCAACATTTTTTTGCATTGAAACACCAGCTCATGGCCTTGAGGAGCCATACTTACTGTATATTCTCTCTGAGTAGCCGCTCGGCCTCCCAATTGCAAGAACACCAATCTCCTCGGCCTCTTTGCGAACATCATCGAACTGGCCAGGTCCAGCTATCGGACCAGTCTGGCTTGCTGTGGCTTCAGAAACACCGTCGAGTCTGGTCTGAAGCTCAATGATTCGGTCTTGTAGGCTTTTGACAGCAGCGTACGTGTAAGTCACACGGTCAGTAATATTGCACTGCTCATTTTGCTTGTGGCAAGTTGAGCATCGTGGAATCTGTACATCACACTTGAACATGTCAGTAGCCTAGACTCCTCCTTATTAAAAGGGTGACTACCTACCTTGACTTTCCTTGCATGGCAACGGCTACATGCCTTGGATACCGTCGGTGGAAATCGCGATTCCCACGTTGGATCCATCATTTGTGGATTGAGGATTTGTCCGTGTTGCTGCTGGCTCTGTAGCGTACCAGAGTGTATAGTTCTCTGTCTCGGGGGTGTCCGAGTCTAAGGGTAGGTGGACTTCGGAAGACAGTAAAAGGGACAGTGCGTGGAACTGTGTCACTCAGCTGTGGGTGGAAGTCGGAGATTCTTATCGATAGATCGCCCCACTTGCCGTTACTGGTGATTTTCCAGGGATGCGGTTTGGTGACCGGTGAATCTCGGTGTAGAGCTCAAGTTCGCTGTGTGTAAGTCTGTCCTGACTTGGATGCCTTCACAGGCAGCTCAGGAAATCACACAGGAGAAATAAAGAGTGCACACTTTTGTTTATTTTCACGCTCCCAATACAGTTACTTCGGAAGGAGCGTACCTTCATTTTTTACCTCCCACGCACACTCACCACAAAAACCTCTTCCACTTCACACACCTCCGCCACTCGTCACAATACGCAAACAACAGCCTCCATTGAGAACTTAATATCCGACTTCATCGCCATCAATCAACTTTTTTTTTTTCGCCCCAAATTTACTGAGCCTCGGATACACTTTCCATCAAGAAGTTGGTCGAGGAGCCTCAACATGACTCCCGCTGGTTCCATCGCTTTGTTGGTCATCCTGGTCATTGCTCTCATCTGCACTATCATCTGGCTCGCAAAGGACCAGGTTCACACCTTCGTCAAGGCTTTGGCCGATCACCGAGCGGCACGGAAGGAGGCTTCGACCACAGCCAATACAGAAGTCACCTCCAACGAGGCCACCGTCTAGGTAAGTCATTTCTTTATTTCATCCGGCAAAGAAAATCACACTCCCATCTGGATATCCTTATTCACGGGCCCTTGTCTTCGAGATGTGGCTTGACTCCTCAATGTCATCGACATAGCGCGCACTAGCCACACCCAGTCCCCAAATTCTCCACCAAAATTTATTCCATCCTGGAAGCTCTCCAAGCACCGATCGACTGACTTCATTGCGCGCCGCCCCCAGGTCTCTCCACGCATCCTCGACAAGAACGAGCCATTCCATAGCTATGGCGACCCGACGCGCCCTCCGCTCCTCTTGGAGCGCGCGATCCCTTTCGAAGCAGCTCAGCACATCTCCTTCCCCTATCTCCCGCCCTTTTGCAATCGCCTCCCGATCCATCAACACCTCAACCGACCCTTCCGCCGATAGCAAGACAACGCACTTTGGCTTCAAGACTGTCCCCGAGTCTGAGAAGGCCGACCGCGTCGCCGGCGTCTTCCACAGCGTCGCCGACTCTTATGACCGCATGAACGATCTCATGTCCTTTGGCTGGCACAGAATATGGAAGTACGTTGAGTTTCTCTCAACATCTGTCATGCCATCACCACTAACGCTACTCCCAGGGACCACTTCGTCTCCGGCCTCCAGCCAGGCCTCTCAGCCTCCAACCCACCCACCCCCCAACACATCCTCGACATCGCCGGCGGCACAGGTGACATTGCCTTCCGCATGCTCCACACGGCGCACAACATCAACCACAACCCCGACGTCCGCGTCACAATCTCCGACATCAACCCCTCCATGCTCGCCGTCGGCCGCGACCGTTCCCGATCCCTCCCGGCCTCCCAGCAGGCCGCCATGTCCTGGCTCGAGGCCAATGCCGAGAAGCTCCCCGAGGGCGCCATCAAGGACAACTCCATCGACCTCTACACCGTCGCCTTCGGCATCCGCAACTTTACAAACATCCCCGCTGCCCTGCGCGAGGCCCACCGCGTGCTCAAGCCCGGCGGTGTCTTCGCCTGCCTCGAGTTCAGCAAGGCAGACGACTACCCGCTTTTCAACGCCATCTACAAGCGGTGGTCCTTTAGCGGTATCCCCCTCATTGGCCAGCTTGTTGCTGGTGACAGGGACAGCTACCAGTACCTCGTCGAGAGTATCGAACGGTTCCCCAGCCAGACGGAGTTCAGGGACATGATCAAGGATGCTGGTTTCGTTGTCTCGGGTGAGGGTTATGAGAACTTGACTGGCGGTGTTGCTGCCATTCACAAGGGTATGAAGCCTATTGCATAAGATGCCGATTCTGGGATAATCTGGGCGTGAGGAAGGAAATTCACAAAGGGAAAAAGGGGTCTGGTGAGCTTTTGAAGCTCTTGTAAACTGTATGTATATGTATCAACACAGGGAAATTCAGTCATCGGCATGGCTGCATAGAAGGCGGGCACCCCCGATAGATTCTCTACACTAAATGTATACCAACAAAGGCCGCTGGGCCTGTTTCTTAAGCAACCTTAGAGAAACATGAGGAAACGGCAAGCGCGGCGTTAAGCTCCCAAGTCTGGCTGAACGGCTTTAGTGTTCTGGACGGGACACTGCTCAGCTGCGATCTCTTGGATTTCGTGTATGTGAGTCCCCGCAGACGTATCAGTGAAAGCGATCATCGACAACAGCAAAGGCAGCCGCCACGAGCCTTTGATATCTCCCATTGAGACCATCAAAGCCTGACAATCGAGCTCGTGTTGGTAGCATGGCTGCTTACTGCTTATAAGACAACAAGAACGGGTACTCCTTTAAACAAAACCTCCATTCTATCCTTTGGCTGCAATCGCCTGGCAGACTCTCCATCTACAAGGCGACTTTTGTGTCCAAGGCTCGTTGAGCAGCTCGTCCATCGTTGTTCCTGTTCGGCTGGGATACTCTCTGTCCATCTTCATATTAAAGCGTTCTGATTTTGGTAATCCAAGGTGATGGATCAGCCCACTCGGATGGCCGCTTCGATCTCGACATCGAAGCGGCGGTAGTGTCGGTGACATCTGCGGTGTTGATGACCTTTGTTAGGGTGACTAGGCTGTGAACTTTGTAGTGCATACATCTATTTCAACCATGTTAAGTGCCCGCACTTATATTCATCACGGCGCCTTCACGATCGGTTCGTCAGTAAGTACGAACGGGGAGAGAGCAACGTAGGGGAACAGGCGCTCATATCATCTCAACTCTGCTTCGATACCTTGCACTTTAAGATGTTATAGCTTATCAAACAAAGTCATTCCGGATTGGGAACATGGTTTCCAAGGATGCATCTGTTGTCGACAAACAGGCCAAGTTCACCCTGGTCCGAGGCAAAAGCTCTGTTAACACTACATTATATAGATTCAGAATAACAAGATCTAGGATATCAGGCTTCTTCTGCTTGCTGCGAAGATCCAATCCACAAACCTGGACGTCAGCAACGATGGACCAGCCTACGTCATTCACTACACAGCCTTCGTCATAGGCGCATGTATATGCGTTTTCTGCACTGCGATTTCAACCTCCCCTCAAGGATTACTACCTTAACCCACCATCAGTCCTTTCAATGTCATGCAATTCGGCAAGTCCTCTGATTCGCGCCGTGCCCTTTTTCCTGGGGGGACCTGAGGATGTCAGCATTGCACGGCAGTCTTAAGTACCCCCAAGGGATACAGCCAAGCTTGCCTGGCAGACTCCAACAAGCTCCGATTCCATACCGATAGCTGTGCATTTTCACTGCAATCTGAACCCCTCCAAAGGAGATAGAACCCAGCTGACCCCTCGGTTCCCTTCTGCCGCCCTCAAGTCCCTCCTGTAAGCCATCTGCCCATCTTAGGTACTCCGGCTTATGGTACGTAGTTCAGCCCCTTTTCACTGCAACTTTAACTCCCCCAAAGGCAGAGCCGGCCGAGCCATCCTCACAGCCTTGCCCTAGGTAGCCTCTCAACTGCGTCATATTACTACATGCCATCTATACTCCATTTTCATACCAAACAAAATAATTCTCTTGCTTAAAATACCAAACCATGGGCTATAACATCTTCGCTTCAGACTGATACCGAAAGCATAGCAACGCTGGGTTGGCACTGCGTTGGGAACTCCATTTCTCGAAGACTATCAACCTCAGAAAGAGGTAGTTTCTACTACATCAAGGCTTCCGCGAAAGCCTCAACATTCGGAATCAAAACAACGTTCCAGGCCTTTTCCAGGCCTTTCTCTCTCTCGTCTCATAGAAGCACAACCACCTTTTATGCACTTCTCACCGACGAAGGGAAACCCCCCAAACATGGATGAAAAACGGAAACTTGAGTTGGAAAAAAAGGTCTTTTCCACCTTTCCCCCCCTCAAGTTGTCTCATTAAGATACGCGTACAAGAATTGGTAGCACTTATTTTTTCTTTGGCCCCCCTTTCTCCCATTCATAACCGGCAAAAAAAACGATGAAATCTTTGTCCTTTCATTCCCCTGCTTGCGAAGGGCCAAACTTGGCCATTACAGCTTCAAAGACTTCATTTGATGGACCACGTGGCTTCGATTCCGAGGCCTGAGCCATCTTCCATACTTCATCAAAGGCTTCAGGAGGAGAGTCCTACTCTGCCGGGGTAGCAGGACCGGGGGCGGGGGAGGCGCCGCCTTCGCCCTTGAGGCCACCGCGACCGCGTCCTCCACGTCCTCCGCGCTCGCCTCCTCGTCCACCTCGGCCACCACCACGGCCGCCACGACGGGTGCTCTCGGAATCACTGGCGCCACCGGCACTGCGGTAGCCGCTGCCAGTGTTTGCAGAGTTACCACCGCCCCTGCTGCTGCCCCAGTTGCCGGCACCACCGCGGGGCTGGAACTTGCTCTCGCGGTGTTGGAAAACCTTGACGAGGGGACGAGACCGGTCCTCTTGAGCCCGGGTCTTGAGGTCTTCGGGAAGGCTGTTCAGAGCAGCATCACGTTCCTCAATCGTCTTGAACATGACAACTTTGTTGGAGTTGCCCCATTTCTCGACCTTGAGGATGTTGTTTTTGTGCTCGCCGTCGAAAAGATCACGAGTCTGCTCCTCGGAGTTCACATTCATAATGAAAAGACCGACAATATCTTGAGCAGGTGTCTTGGGTGCGGGAGAAGAGACGGGGTCAGGGCCGTTGGCTGATCCGTTAGCAGCCGCAGGCGCAGGGCGCTCGTCCTTGGGAGGGACCGCAGGTGGTGCCGCAGCAGCAGGTTGAGGAGTTCCAGGCTTAGCTGATGGCAGGGGTGTTGCGACCGCAGGCTTGGGAGGTGCTTGGGATGACGGCTGTCTGCTGGTGGGCGGGGGAACCGTAGTCTGAGTGGAAGGCGGAGCCGGGGCAGGCAGGTTGCCAGCGCCAGCAGGTCCGGCGGGAACAGGCGCAGCGGCCTTGGCACCTCTGTGTGAGAAGTTGAAGCCTTGGGCGCGCATCTCAGTTCCGATACGTCCATCCTGAATCTCAAGCACCAACCATCCGAATGCGGCATCAGCCAAGTTGAAGTTCCACATGTTCTTGAAAGCACTCTCGTCGACCTGGCCGAGTTGTGCCTGGCCGGCAACGGGACCGCCGAAGGGGTTACCTCCCGCAGCAGTAGTGGGCATCTTCTCGACAATCTGGAGGGCGTTCTTGAGCAGGTTCTGCTGGCCCTCGTTCTGAGAGATGGCTGGCTCGACCTCGTTCTTGACCGTCTCCCAAACATCGTTGAAAGAGGCCTTGGAGGCAGCGAGCTTGCCGCGGTAGTGGTCGAGGGTGGGGTTTACGCTGAACTCGTTGTAGGAGCTGCCGTAACGGAAGTGGAGTCCAGCGGAAATGGAGAAGTCGGCCTTGAGGGTGACGGAAAGCTGGTTCAGAATACCCTCACGGGCAGGAGAGGCGTGGGTGACGAAGACGCGGGTTTCGGTTGGGTCGTAAACTCGGTGCGCAGTGTCGACAAGTTCGCCCATCTGCAACAAGGTAGTCCACATAGTTCCCTGACCTCCGGCGATCGTAGTTCTTCCTTCGCCATTGTCGAAGAGCTTGTGCATGACAACAGCACCACCAAGACCCAAGAGGCGCAGCTTGACTCCACCGAGCTCGAGAAGCATCGAGCGGGCCTCGTCGATGATGTGCAGGTTGTGTACCTTATACTCTCCGGAACGGAACTTTTCGAGAACGCGGACATCTTCGCAAGCACCCCATACAGTGTATACTGGGATATCGAGCTTGATCTCGCCGCTCAAGAGTAGAGAGAGCTCGGAGAGGGGAAGCTCGTTGGCAGGGAATCGGCTCTTGACGGGTCCGGGGCCGCCCTGCTGGATGGCCTTCTTGACGGGCTCGGAAATCAGGGGAGAGTATTGAGCAACATGCTTCAGGGTTCTTCGCACCAGTGTCAGAATGACAACGGTCGGTTATAGAGTCGCGGAGTGTTCCTTACTTTTCTGCGATTCGCTCCAAGGAGGTGTCGTCGTAGAAGCCAAAGTCGCCAGTGTGGATGATGTGATCGGCTCGTGCTTGTCTTGCCAGGTCGTTGAGGGATGTGAGGTTTCCTATCAAAGTTGATGTTAGATTCAAGCTTCATAGCCGGTCGCCCGACGGGATTTGATGGAATGGCGACGAACCTCGAACATCAGCTATGCACAGAACTCGGATGGGGCCAGTCTGGATAACGCGACCCTGGTTGGGGAGGAGAGGCGCAGCTCCAGGAGGAATCGAGGAAGCTCCGTTGGGCATGTAGCCCGGGTTGTTGTTGTATGGACGCGGCTATAGACATCGATGACATGTTAGTACTGGGGCCAGAAGCGGGACAAGGAGGAGCTGTCAAGGTCCCGCCGGAGAACAGCGAAGCATCACGGCAACGAGGATAGAGCAGAGCGGGGAGATGCGCAATGAGATATAAAGCATCACGAGGTGTATGATACTGAACGGGAAGCTTGAAACGTCGAGAAAAGGAGGTAACTCACGGCAGCCATGCTAGTTTGTTGTCGAGGTAATCGCGAGATGGAGATTGGGCGATTGAAAGTCGCAGGGGGGGGACGATCGGGCTCGGGGGTTCGTCGTCGGGTGAGTGACCGGGTGCTCGGTTCGGGTGGTCGTCGAGGGGAGGAATTGGGTATCAACGGAGATGGAAATGAGGTTGGAAGGAGCAGACGGTGATGTTTGCGACGAGAAAAGGAACAAGCTCCCCTTACAAGGCTGGTGATATTTTTCTGGAGGTTGAGGAAAAGTGCAAGGTGTAGGTGGAAGCAACGAACGGACGAATTGGCGCACTGCCAGAAGAGGCTGCTCTTGCCCCAAATGGTTTAGCGCGGATGCTCAAAGCTGGCAGGGGCTACAGAGGTAAGGTAATGTGCTGGGCCTTCCCAGAGCAACTCCAGCTACCTACCTAGGTACCTACGCGACTCCTCTTGGCTGGGCATCATGGGGCGGATAGGCAGAACAGCACTTAAGCACCTCAAAGATCAAATCGCACTAGACCTCCACCGGAACCTGAGGTACCTAAGCTCGCTGAGTGACTGACGGGAGAGCCTGCTGGGCACCTCCAGGCACCACAGCGGGGCTCGGGCAGCTGCCTTCCAGGTAGGTAGCGCTAAACACAGCCGGGACCTCAGCTCCTCACTTTATTGCTCACTTCTGCCCCGAGTTGGACCTCTCAGGGATAGACACGACATTCGATTCAAACGGAGGCGAACAGCACCTCAGCTCACTCTCTTTGATCGTTTAGACCTGCAGGTCCCGTCGCACATTTCTCCTTGCAGACATATACAGTACAGTGTTGGATTCTTCTCAAAGAACTATGGCACACCTCAAAGATACCCTAGACCTCTGAGCAACCTTGGCACGTGAGGTCTAACCTCTTGGATGAGGCCCGGCGGGATGAGGCGGGAGTCCGGAGGCCGGAAGCCGAAACAACGACATCTCAACGACTCGTCCCGGCTTGGGCAAGGTATTGGGGAAGCACGGAAGCAAGTGAGGAGCAAAGAAATGGATCCACCACATTTGCTGTGGTTGCGCTACTCTATTCTTCTTCCCCGCGTGTCGCGATTGAACCTAAGTAGCCTCCAGAAGATTCCGGTCGCTATGCTAACTGTTTACATGTGCTGCAACAAAAGCACTCCACCGTCCGTCCACCACAAGTCAAGCCAGCAGGATACTAAATATGAAGATATGAAAGGATGTGAAAATGAAGGGACTCGTGGAGGCTTAGCCAAGCCACACATGGGTTCCCCCTTTGAATATATGTTGCACTCAATCCATCAACTCCGCCTTATGCACATACGTTTGGATGATTACACAGCGCCTTCCAACTAGGTTCGAGACTGCAACAGAGGCAGAGCCTAGGAGTCTCGCCGTCCAAGAATGCCCTTTTCACCAGTACCTACAGCCACAGCTGTCGCTGCCTCTGCCTCTGCTACCACTGCTTCTCACCACATGTCCTCGCGGTCGTCCCGGCGCCTTACGTCGTCGCTGCCGTCACGCCCGTACTGATCATGATAATACTGCTTGCCAGGCTGAGGGTCATAGCTGTCAGGGCCTTGGTAGCCATTGCTGCGTCCGTTATCCACGTCGCCGCCATGGTCGTACTCGTATATTTGAGCGTCATCAACGTAGTCCACCTCATCATGAGGATGGTCACCGTATTGGTTTTCGCCCTAGGAATCGAGTCAGCTTGGCTCTCCGGACTAGAGTAGAGATACTTAACATACCCGATGATAGTCAAAGTTGTACTGGCCCGTCGAGTCCTGCTCCCCCGCTTCTTGCTGCTGCTGCTGCTGTTGTTGCTGCGCCAAATACTGCTCTTCCTGTTCTTTGCGGCGACGCTCCTCTTCCAGACGTCTCTGCTGCGGCGACTGAGGAACCTGCATCTGTGGGTGCATGGCCTGAACGATGGCGAGATAGTTGTACATGAAGTTGCTGAGAAGAACCTGACTCAACAGAGAGCGACGCGGGTTTGCGAGCTTAATGTGAGCCATCCGATAAATCGCTCGTTCCTCGAGCAACGGGAATCTGGTCCAGTGGTAGTCGACATCAGCCTTAAGCGGGCGGTACGGCACCTCCTCCGAGACCCGCAGATGTTGGTTCTTCTTGCTGCTGCTCTCCTTTTCGCTCTTCTTCTTGCCACCGCCAAAGAGGCCCGAGAAGAGACCACCCTCCTTCTCCTTCTTGGCTTCCGACTTCTTGCTCTCCTTCTTTCGCTCTTCGGCCAATTTGTTGTCGACGTTGTCGCGGTCCACAATGATACTTTCTCTTCCCTTGGAAGACGCACCCTCGATTGAGCTCTGGAGAACATCCAAACGGGCATTGTCCTGTCCCTTCTCGGCGACTTGCTGCTTTTTCCTCTTCTCCTCTTCCTTCTTCTTTTTGTCCTTGTCGTCACTACCGCCCTTGAGCCACTTTGACCAGCCTCCAGAAGATTTGCTCGATGATACACTCGAAGCATCATCGTCTCTCTCCTTTCTCAGTTTCTTTTCCACCCTCTTTTCTTCTGGCTTCTTCTCCTCTGGCTGTAGAGTGGGAATGAACGTCAACGTATCGGTTCGGTTTGCGCCACTGCCAGGTAAGACAGATGGGTGGGAAGCCATGTCGTTCAAGGTGTGATTATGGGCATTGGTTTGCTGCTGCTTGGGCTGCTGCTGCACCTGTGGTGGTTGTTGAGGTGCCGTAGGTGTTGTCGGGCTTGGCGCAGAGTTGGCTGAACCCGGACGTTTGCTTGAACGAGCGGGAGGCTCGTCCATAAGGGGCTGTGAAGGGGCATGCTGTGAAGATGAGGACCTCTGGGGGAATTGCTGCCTTTGCGCGCTCTCGTCTGTTGCTGGCGACTCAACAATGGCAGGAACCGGGGGGTTGGCATCAGCCGAAACTGAAGATGTTCTCGTTGGGTGTTGCTGTTCAGGACGTGTGCTCAGGGGAGAAACAGGTTCCTCGATCTCGGACGAAGCACCGTCAGAAGTCGTGCCCAGATCTTGAGAGAACTTGTGCTGGCGTCGGACTGAGCGATTGGGGCGCGAGAAATTCTCTGACACTGGCTCTGATTGCGCTCTTTGCTGCGTAGGCAACGGTGGCACTTCGGGCACGTCAGATGGCAGAGGGGGGACTGTATCCGCGGAGTCAGAGGAATCCGTGTGGGCATGTCGATTGGCGACCCGCTTGGAGAATGGCAACCGATCTGAGCGTACACTGCCGTTCTTTCGGTAGGTTGTTCGGGTTGACCTGCGCAGTCCCATGCCGGGAGCTACAGGCAAGATGGGTAGATCCTCGGCGCCAGCCTCCGGTTGAGCACCTTCGGAAAGCTCACGCACTACTTTGGAAGGGTCCTTGACTAGTTCGTTCAGGTTGAGCTCAGGAGTTGAATAGTCTCTGAGTGAGCTCTTGCGCCCGAGTCTCTCGGCGCCGTCCACGTACCCAACGGCGCCTCTTCCCCCAGAGTTGTCGATTTGTCGTGAGAGCATGCTCTTCTTTCTCCGCAGGCCGCCGCCAGAATCGCTTCGGCCCATACCGCCGTCACCGGAGTCGCCTGATCGCCGCCGAATAGTCTTGACACGATCCTCTAAGAAGGTCTTGAATTCCGTCGGGGCCAGCTCGGGATGGACTGCCGCAGGGACCCAGAGTAGCCGTGAGGGATCATTTTCGTCATCGTCTCCCGTTGGCGCGATAGGAGGCATGGCGACTAGGGACAAGCCGGAAAAGGGGAGCATATCAGGGTCAGCATTGTTTCCGACATCCATAGACATGCGCCGCAGGGCCTGCAAGTTGTTGAGTTCCTGCGCGATGTCGTTGGGGTTCTCGATGCTGCCTAGAGGAAATTGGGAGGACTCGTTCTTAACATCTCGTAAGGAGATTGGCGGCGATTTGGGACCGTTCTCAAACGACATGCTTCGCTGGCTAGGCGACCGTGTTGGCAACGTCTGTGAATGTTTGAGAGTCGTGGAGCCATTTTGTGCCATGCCCAAGCCCGTCTTGTCCGACGCTGAACGGATCATCTGCCTACGAGGATCGTCGTCGGAGTGGTCGGATTCGAACTTGTTGTTGAGCTGGTCGGTGTAGGACTGTCCGAGGTAGCTGATGGGTCGGCCATCGCTGTCGTACTCCTCGTCGCCGTAGAGGGTTCCAATGGTCTCGGTCACATGGTGGCTGGGGTCTGAAATTGACAGCTGGCTCGCATGACCGCGTCGACTCGCAAAGCTGCCACCAACATCGGCGCGGGGTCTAGATGAGGTCTGCGGATAGCACGGAGAGTTAGTCAAAGGTGCTGTTCAGGGAAAGGAGGCTCAGTAAGTAAAATTCGAAGCCTGAAATGGAGGCAAAGAAAAGCAGCGCGCCATGCTAAACAAGGACGACTCGCAAGGCTCTCGAAACGTTGGGTGCCAAAGATGGGTGCAGTGGCGAGTTATGGGCAATTCTACGCACCATCATCTAGGAAAGGAATGGCCTTGAGGAAGGCCGAAAAGCCAATTATTCCCTAGAATACACCACTCGTCTGCCAAATATCTCGTTCGAAAAGAATGCGTCGTTGAGCTCTCATCTGTCGAGGGTGTAGTGCAGCATAGGCGCGGCGTGTGAGCGACGGGAGTGTCGAAGGCGGGAGTTGGATCAAGGTTGGGATCGGGATACGGATACAGGTATGGATTCTTCGGTCGGCGCGTCGTTCAAGATCGCATGGGGACGGGAGGGAAGTGTATTGGAGCGGTACCCGGGATGTACAACGATAAGAGTTGAAAAGACTGGAGAAGTCCACCGTTGCAAACGAGTGATAGAGAAAAAGCAAGCGGCAAATTATGCTGTTGAGAGCATGGAACAGGCGAGGATGGGTCGGTTCGAGACTGGTCCAGGTGGGCAGTTGGCCGGCGTGTCTTGTGCTAACGTTGTGTTGTGTCGTCGGGTAGTGGTAAGGTAGAGAGAGAGGTAGAGAGAGAGATGATGGTGGAGGTAGCGGTGGTGGTGGTAGGCGAAGTAGTGGTGGAGGAGCAGGGTAGGAAAGGTTGAATGACGGGACGTTGCTAGTTGTTGGAAGTTGTAGCGCTCGGTAAGGCGAATGGTGTCAAACAATCTAATGGTTCGTTCACCTCACCGTCCAGTCTTGTGCGAGAACTGGACTTTTTGGAGAAGGTATTTGGGATTGGTGCCAGTGCAGACAACCTTGGAAGAGACAGGCAGACGGGACTGCAGCCAGTCAAGTCAGAAATCAACCCCCTACTGCAGGTCGGGGGAGCGGGCAGAAGACAGAGCGCGAGCGAACGTGAGGGTGACTGGCAGAAAGGGCGATGAACAGGCGCTACCTTCTCCAGTACAGCACCAAAGTCGAGGTCACGTCGTGGAGATCAGATAGTGTACTTGGGGGACCACGGAAGTAGACGGGTACAAGTCTATTTGCAGAGACGATCCCTGAGAGTGTGCCATTATGGGTGTCGGAAGCGAGCGAAATGCTGGGACTGATGGAGTGGAGGTCTGAGGGGAACAAGTACCGAGTACTTGACTCGACCCCCAATCGGCTGGTGTCATTTGTAGCCTGGAGAGAAGGGCGCCACCAGGACTGCATTAGCGCCAGCCAGACTGGGCTAGGCGTTGCTTTGGAAAAAGCGGCCAGTCAAAGTAAAGTGAGGAAAGTGCGGTGGTCTGGCACAAAAGGCCACCTCCCTGTCACGTGCCCAGCCAAAAGCCAATGGGTGCCTGCAATGAACTGCCAACAATAAGGTACCTTAGGTGCGGACTGTCCAGTTGGCGTACTCATAATATCTCAGGTACCTTACCTCATGTAAGATCATAACGTCCAAGGAGATATATACGGATACAAACACTTAGGTAATTTGGTCTGGAAGGCTTTGTGGAATATCCGGGACTGAATCCTTTATCCTTCGACTGGGCAGTCAACACCAAGTGGCCCAGGGTCGCGCAAGCAAAGCATCGAATAACCAAAAGATTACCTAATGCACGTAAGGGCATCCTCTTACCTCATGATACATTAGTCTATCGTCCGTTCAGCTGAGTTGGATTGCATTTTGAGTCGTGCATGCGTCCGTACCCGTGCCTGAGCTTACCTACAGCCTACCTAGGTACCAAGGCTAAGTGAGGTACGTATCGTCCGTTCACTCTTTGCAGAACTGAAGACAGAGGGGAAGGAGCTGCGAACTGACTGGCTGCCGTTTTGGCATCAAATTGGGGGCAGACGCGGCAGGCGGCAGGATGGATAACTGCATGGGCAGGCACAGCGGGGGGCGCAGAAGAAGGGCGGGGAGGAAGGACAAAGAAACCCCGAAAAGAAACGAACAAGAAAAAAAAAAGATAGCGGGCGACTGGCTACACAAGTCTGCAACCTCAACGTTTAGAACGATCAATATTCTCAATCATCGGCGGAACAATACGTAATACCCAAGCAACATGCACAAACCATCAATGATATCGAAGCCTGCAAGGGCCCTCATCGCTGCTACTCCAAGGTACGGATACTCTATACGAATACTCTCGCATCATAGGTCCAAGCCAAGACCCCGACATTTGATGCTGGATCATGACCCGAGTCCGACACAACTGGCTCCGGCCGACTCTCCCCAAAGAGCGCATGCTAACCACGAGGTCCGGATATTGGCAGTGGATGAGACATGGATGGGCCATGGCCGCAATGCGTACGGAGTACACGCAGTACTTCGTACACAATCACGCCGTCATCTCAATTCGCCAAACGACGAAAGGAAATTCAGTCTTTCAGATTACTCGCAATGAAACAAGGAAACCACAATACCGGTTCAGGGCCCTCTCGCTTCTCATCTCTAACTCGAGCTGAATCTGTCACGCTCAAAGCGCGTTTCCCGTCCCCGTCACTGCCACAACCAGATCCGAGCATAGCAGGGACAACCCACCTGGCCCAAGGTCCAAGGGACGACCCATACGCACGCGGCCCTAACATTGTACTTCTATTCACGCCTGCGACTCGACACTATCCCTCCAACTTCCTACAAGTGCTCTGTGTTGTGCCACGCAGCTCCACGAGCACGACAGGTTGGCTCTTTAAAGGCACTGCGCCCTCCCGCCAGTCCTCGCACCCTCGATGACTGCCCTCAGCTCATGTACTACCTGACTTTTGACGTCGAAACAGCATCGGTCCTTGCTGCTGGCTGCTGCCGAAAATCGACACTAGCACGACCCCGTTTGCCTAGAGTTACAGGGCGATCCCAGAACCCCAACCTGGCCGAAGACAAAGTCCCCAGAATAGCTCACCACTTTATGCCAGGGAACATCGGATCTCAGGACAAGGTTCGGGCGCCTCTTCACTGTTCAGTCACTCGGTCACCAGTGTGCTTTTCTTTTTGTCCGAGGCATGCTTTTATGTTACCTTCTCCACGGCCTCCGAGTCTGTGCCAACGAATACCTCCGCGCTCCAAAGTTGAGGGTTCCCTGAGCAATGCGTGGAATGCAACCCATGCACCATGGCCGACTTCCATTTCCTTCTCGAAGGACTGGACACGGGAGAGACACTGGAGTCTGGAGACCGAGGGCTGGTCAGATGCAGGGCCAGTGGACCGGTCCCCATCGTCACCGCCTCGGGCCCCTATTCACCACCGGCGGCCCCGGCCATCGACGCCGTCTCATCGGGGTCATCTCCCACTTTCGCCCCTTGAGCGAGTTGAGCCCCCTTTGTGCCTAGGGATATTTCTGATTTCAAGGCCCAACCAGCCTCTCGGATCCACTAATACGCCAAAGTGACCTGAATCGGCAATCTCGTTTCCAACGCCCGCGGCCCAACGTCTTTTTTTCATTTTGCCGTTTGCGACTTGCCAAGCACCAAGTTCCCATACGTCAAGGAATCAAGACGTCGAGAACCTTCGCCCCTGTCCACAGGCACAGTCCAACCACCATCGTGATCACGGGTCCACGGCGGTCCATTGCGAAGCGCCCCAGCCGAGTCGCAAAAAAACCGTCGCACGGGGACGACCAACCAGAGGCCGCCCAACTGCGATCGCAGCGTAGCATGTCATCCCATCTGCCGCTTCCTAACAAGGGTGTCGCCGTCCACTGGCATCCAGCAAAGAAGACCCGGCAGCCGGTCATAGGGTAGTCGCTGAACAGCGGAAATGTTAGCCAGAGATAGCGCTAATGAGGTGTATGGCAGCAGCCCTCAACTGGTTGTGCATATGGCTTCGTCGATTTGCGATCGCATCAGCTCGCTGGGCACATTATGAGAAATCTCGAAATCAGCATTCTGACTCACGATTACACGGCTTCAGCTCGTTCATGTGATTGCCATCTTCGATAGCAAAGGGTTGGCGATCAAGCGATCGACAATGAAGCATTGGAGTATGCAGCTGAGCCAACTACACATATCTCGCACCTGTGTGAAGCTGCGCTGCGGGCTGCAGCGATATGCCGTCTGTCGTCTGTCAGAGGGACGTCTGGGCCCCCAAACCCCAGAGTAACACCAATGGAACACGATATCCATCTCCCAGATGCCAGTCGGACGTGTGGCTCGTTGTCCGCATCCTCCCCTTACAGTTGCAACAGACAGGGTCCGCGTCCTTCCTTGCAGGCTGGTCGAGAAGTTGAGCCAAAGAGCTTGCACGAGCTATTGAAACTGTGGCGGAATGGGTAGATTTGCAGCAGAAAGTGTGGACTAGACCATCTCGAGCTTTGTCTTACATTGGTCATCCAGCACGATCGACAGTCGAGTTTCCCCGCGCCGCCACACCATCTCCAACGCACGGGAGACCTTGGTGTGCATGATCAGGCTGACGTTCAACTGCAAGGTGTGTGTGTACCAGCCTTCACCAACCCTCGTCATCGCATCACACATCTCAAACCGATGCAGCATATCTGCATGGACGTCGCACCTACTGAAGATAATGCCATGACTACGGATCCCAGTCAAATGGCTTTCCGAGCCGTTACGCACTGGCTCCAGAGCCAGACTCTGCCGGTATTCTGCTGCACTACACCGGGATTCCGGCCGCGGATGCCAACAGACATCGAAGCTGACAGTGTGCCTTTATCACAGTCTCATCTGACCAAGGCGCTGAGCCAGCAAGAGCAGCATCATCAAAGCCAGTCGCCTCAGATCAGCGACGCAGAAACCAGCGAAAGTGTCGCGCGGCGCGCATCATCTGCCCTGTGGACGAAGCCACTGCCACAGCTCCCGCCGCCCAACATGTCCTTGTCGGGCAAAGTCGCCATCGTCACCGGCGGCGCGCGAGGCATCGGCGCCGCCATCGCGTTGAAGCTCGCACGAGAAGGGGCCAGGGTGCGTCTCTACCGACCTCAATCTTGTTGAAATGAGAATTTCGGCTAAAGCTAGATTTTCGTGATTCGCGTGATTAAAGGTCGCCTTCACCTTTGTAAACACTTCATCAATAGCCAAGGCCCATGAGGTCATATCCGAGATCGAGGCCTGCGGGTCCTCGGCGACCGCCATCCAAGCCGACGTCTCC